CATCTCAGGCTCCTCTGTGCAAACTGAAAGGTCATAGGTTTTATCCTCGACAACAGTAAACGTTCTCCTGGGACTGTGGGCGCATCCCATAATAATAACAACAATAATAACAGTACGATGACAACAGGCGGTGATTAAGGAATTAAAGTCGTTGGTCTAATGAAGTAGGGCTGCTGAAACACTAGGACGATATAAAGGTTTATACAAAGGTTTAGAAAATACTAGAACGTTTGATGAAACTGTGAAACAGTAACAACAGTCGTCGTACGTCCAGTCAATTAAGATCATTAATTATGATAATAATTATCTAATCAGTGAGACATCATATCAGGTCTGTACCTTGAAGACTTGGTGATGGACGTTTATTTCCATTTGTCTGACAGAAGGATTTAGAAATGTTTTTTTTCTAAAGAGGTCGTACCAGGTGAATCCACTGAAGCCTCTGAGATGCTACATCAACCATTAACTTTATTAACAACTCAGGCCTGACCGCAGTGAGACCCAGATGTGGTCATGACCACGGCTGAAAACCTCCTGATGGGAGTGACATTTTCAGACCACTGCTGAGACCGACCCACAACTACGACTTCAGCCTCTGGGCTGTGTGATTCCATCAAAATGAGTTCTGTAATGAGCTCTATCAGTTGGTCAGCAGGACGAGGTCAGGTCAGACTGATTCAACCCTCATTACAAAAAAACTGTAACGTTGATCGTCACCGACCTGCCTGCAGTCCACAGTCTCTTCATGGAGATAAAAACTCTAAATAACGAGGAGTCGAAGTGATCTGTTAGATATAGTTCTATATACGACGTTTCTCTGAGGTCCAACATCAACAGCTGGTTGGTGTTGATTCAACAGCGGACAGTTATCTCATATAAACCACAGAGAGAGTGAAGGCCCTCACAGCACCAGCGTTTCCTGGAGCTGCTACCTTACTGCCAAAAAAAAAAAAAGAAAGACTGCATGACCTCAGATTAAACCAATCTGGGATTAAGTTAACGGCACAAATACTGAATGATGTTAATGCCAGCCGTGTGTTTGCATCCCACAGATTATGACGAGGGATGTTCACAGTGTTTCCACAGTGGGTCCCACCTGGCCGACAGCGTGATCTGCTCACGGCTGTTGTAAAAACCTTCACTGTGGGACGTTGGAAGAATATAAACGGTGGTTTTCTGATATTGACACTGAACCTAATAAAAAAAAAGACAGGGAGCTGAAACTGGAGCCTCCCTCACCAGACTGGAGTGGCTGGAGTTAGAACCAAGAATAGAACCACACCGTGGCTAAAGATAAGGTTCTGCTAAAGAAACAGGCTGATTTCTCCCATGACTTGATGCATGGACGTCTCCTGCTGCTGCAACTGCTGCTGCTGCTGCAACCCCTGCTGCTGCTGCGCCGACTCCTCAGAATAAACAGCCCCCCTAAATAAAACTGACAGGAACCGACGCGGACTCGCTTCACGCCGATGCACAGTCATATCGATCATAACGATATTCACAACTCGGATCGCGTTTCGGCGACTTATTTTTTTTTTTTTTGCCACAACACAACCGTGTACAGAGCACAGGAGCCAACTTGTACCAGTCCACCACAGTCGAAGTAGAAAGTGTCTGAAGTGACGTATATTCGAAGGCAAAATGAAAACCGTGCAAACTTGCCGGCTCGAAAACTGGACAAATGCGGTTTATATCTGCCGTCTGGTTCGGGATCTTCTACTCGTCCAACGTTCTGGAGACGAGTCGAATTACTCCAGGCACACCGTGAAGGAGTGCAATTGTTTTTTTTTTCTGCCCCCCTTTTGGCACCAGCACATGCCGACACGGAGACTGTAAAAACTGCACCTTTTCCTCAACTCTCGCCGTAGACTCACCTTAAACAGCCGCTTCACCGTGGCGTCGCTGTCCAGGGTGCTGAATGTCACGGCGGACGCTCCCGGGAGTCTCTCTGTAAATCCGCCGAGACGAGGAGGGAGAGGAAGGGGAAACGCCGGTCTCCCCCTTCCTTCAAAAACTGCTGCTGCCGCCGACAAGTTACCTCCCGAATTCCCAGCCCGACGTGGGGTGGATTTTTACGTCTCAAAAAAGAAGAAAAAAAAAGAAAAAAAGAAAAATGAATCCAAATTCAAATCTGAGCAGGGACTGTGAGAAGTGCAGCCTGCTCCGGCTGAATAATGGAGCAGCTTTAGTGTAAGTGTAACTGCTGATGCTTCTCACTGTAGGAAGGCTTAACCACCGCTCTCTCTCTCTCTCTCTCTCTCTCTCTCTCTCTCTCTCTCTCTCCCCTCATTTCCGCCCCTCCTCTCTCGATCAATCACTATTCAATTCAAACGGGCTGGAGTGACACCGAGGAAGCCGGTGGTCTCCTGTCCTGTTCATCTCCTACTCCATAAAGGACACTGGACGTGTGGGAGCCAGTGGTTGAGCACAGGTCTCGTCGTATTAGCTTCATTGGCGGTGATGTGATAAGGACACATTGAATCTGATTTAATTCATCGTGTGCCAGAAACGATCCCCCTGATGCACATTACTGCAGCCTACAGTAAAAAACAGACACGCACACGTGCACACATGCTGTCACAAAGCCACTGGGGGTGGGAGGTGGGTGGGGGGGTATGAAATAAATTTATAGCCAATTTTCTTATGATAAAGCAGCAGCCATCTGCTCCGTGACACTTCCTGCCCCGTCATTTGGTTCATTTATTCTCCCTTTGTTTGAAAAGAGAGCAACGTTTCTGTCCGTACAGAACAATCCCTGCTGACTGACAGTGAACGGCAGTGATGGAGGACTTAGTCTCCCACGAGAAGAATTAACATGATAATTAATTTGGGATGCAGCAATTAACTGTATAAATGTGAGAGACAAATACAATCAGTTACATTCAGCCGTAAATCCCTCCTTTATTTATATATAAAAACAAACTGACTAGAGAGAAGTTTAGGACTTGTTGTTGGATGATAAATAATATTTCACAGACTTTTTTTTCCCACCAAATGATTTTCACTTATTTGATCAAACGTTAAACTGGCACGTTCTTAATCATTAGCCTCGCGTTTGTAAGCTGTGATTTTTGGCTGGTTTTCATTCATTTTTGGGATTTTCTTCACTTCGACTAATCATGGATTTATTTTGACGGCTGTTTGGCCGACGCCACGCTCCTTATGATGAATTCTCTTTTGTCTAATTGAGATAATGCGCTGAACCTCAGTCTTGTTTTGGCTAATTTTGATATTTTTTTTCTTCTACCAGGTCTCAGTCTTTGTACTTCATTATTCTTCCTCCATTTTGTTTTTATAAAAACTTCTTTTTTCTTTTTTTTCATTTGGATCAAGGCAACGACTTCTGAGTCACGATATAAAGTCAGTGAAGTTTTTGACTCTTTGTCGTTTAGTAACAAAAAAGTCAGTTTGAATTTCATTCCCTTTTATAGAAAAAAAAGATGATAAAGCAAGACAGGAAATGTCCCCTGATTGGACACACTGTGTTTGATGTTTCGTCGAATCTTCGTGAGAATCTCTGTTGTGTAACTTATTATATATGAATAGAATTTATTAAGTAGTTAAATTAATTGGCCTGAACAATTAAATACTCTCCACTAGGTGGCAGCAGATGGCTATGAAAACTAAAAAAGAATTGAAGATCTTTGTGAGTTTCTTTCTTCAATTCCTGCCTGTATATCAGTGTAATCTTCAACTGAACAGGAGTACGTGGAATCTGACCCACAACCCTTTTGGTTTGAGACAATTGCACAATTTACTCCTTGAAATATCTGAGTTCAGGTTCATCCATCTATTTATCTGTAATGTGGATTATATTCCCAGTCCTGTTTTTGCACCAATAGTTTTGAAGTGGTGATTGTAACGGTTCATGACAGAATGCAGGGGTAAGTTCAGCCTCCTGCCCTCTAACTGCCCTGCTCTGATGAAACCGTGATACCGACCCCGGTCCTTTCTACCCAGTGTGTGGTGCAGGTCAGGACATGGTGCGAGCTGTGAAGAATATGTCCAAGTATTCTGTAGAGTCACAGTTGAAGTACCCCACAGAGTCAGGATTATACCAGAAATAACAGCAGTGTTTTCTTTTTCTCAGCCCTCTCCTCAGTGGACAGAGGAGCAGCCGCTCTGTCTCATTAGCTTTCCAAACCACATCCACGTTGGGTGACTGCACACAACTACACAGAACGAAAAAGAAAAGAAAGACTGGCTGCCGTCTGTTACTGTTGTGCCACACCGCGGTCTTCCTGCTCCACGTTAGACGTCGTCCTCAGTCATTCCACCTGTCATGAAGCCGTCAGTGCAGATCACACCCAGGGTCAGCTCCGTTAGTGAGGGAGGATCAGAAGGTTATTCCTCACCCTGGCTCAAAGTGAATGCGGGATGAGAGGTGTTAAATATTGAGCGACCCCCCCCCCACTCACCACCCCCCCTTGACCAGTGGCTTCAGCCTTGGTTGGCTGTAACGTCCGTGTCCTCACACGGCGCTGAGTCGACTGCAGGCAGATTTAAAGTTCCAGAGAATGGTTTCCATTTTTCTGTATTCAATTAAACAAAACAGTAATTTCATTGGAGGTTTTTTTTTTTAATGCTCTTAATATCAATTTCAATATGTTTTGCCCTTCGTACTTTCACAACTCCTGGAAAATGAAAGGGTTTGTTTGGAGATAATGTGACTCCGTCGTTCTCCTTAGTTTCCATTACAGTTCTCAGTGTAAGCAAATACTGCTGTGGTAATAGAGTATGAATTATAGCCCAGAACAACAAGAACATGGGGGGGGGGGGGGGGGGGGGTGGGTGGCCCGGTTTGGTCAACAACAGAACTACTGTGAACTGGACTCTGATTCCTCTGAGAAATTATATTTGCCTTTTTGACATTTCACAACACGGGTTAGAAATCTGGCCCAGATGAAGGACTTGAGCCTTAAGTGGCCCATATGTTACATCAGTGTTTCCCAAACCTTTTTTTTTTTCTGTGTGTTAAATGGTCAATGCCTTTAAGCAGCTCTTTAAGTGGCCTTGTTCTAGTTCTCCACCACCACCAGACTCACCCAGCTCACAGCATGTTGAACAAGTGCCGTTAAGCAGCTCTTTAAGTGGCCTAGTTCTAGTTCTAGTTCTCCACCACCACCAGACTCACCCAGCTCACAGCATGTGGGTCACAGGAGAGTGAGATGTTGTGGATGTGGGCCACATGGACACTGTGTCACATTAGGCTGATCTCGTCAGTGTTAATGCTGAATATTGAGCCATCCACTGACAGGGTGTTACATCATCAACCATGGTTGTGTTTGTTGACCAGTTATTAGACCTGGGAAGTTCAAATTAACACGGAGATTTCTAATTGGCCATAAAGTTGTTACTGTACCATCAGGATTTACGACCCAGGAACCTCAGCGTGGCTTTTTAAATGGAGTTGTTAATATAGACGCAGCCACTGGTGATAATGATGCTAATCTGCTGCTCCCCTTTGGTTTTTATTGTGGCTTTTGGCTGCGAGCTCTGCAGTCCAGCCGGCGACTTTACTGGTGTCTTCCAGTCTCGCTGCTCTCAGAGTGTCATGTCCTGCCGCAGCAGGGAGTTGTTTTCACTGGGAAAGGCCCTAAAAGCCTGCTGTCTTCTGCCTGCTCAGCATCAAACAGCAATTTAGCAACAAGCTTGTGAACACGGCGCAGCATTTAGCCACTAAAGAGCCGCGTGGTTCCCCTCTGGAACCACACAGAGGAGGAAACAGAGAGTCCAGAGAGAGAACATGAACAGGTCAGGTGATCAGCCTCGTACAGCCTGAGGAGAAATACCAGCTGGAATACTACTGTGTCCGATGTACTTTCTGTTCCCGAGTCCTTCAGAACATATTTAATTTAAAATATGATACAAAAAAAAAAAAAAAAACAACAACTTAGAAGGGAGAGTTTTTTATGGCTTTTCTGTGTAGAGTTTGCCCAGAAGCTAAAGAGCAGCATATGGCCCTGGAACCACAGGTTGTGCACCAACCCCCACTAGAGTATTTCTGTGCAGTGCTAATTTTTCCACTCTGGTTTCTTCATTTTTATGGCTAACCTTTAGCTACTTTGAAGCCTATGTTTCCCTATGTTTGTTGCTGTATTTCATCTGTTATTCTGGTAATCGTTACATACAATGTGTTATTGCTAACTGTTAGTGAATTCCTGCCGCTTTGTTTGCTCATCTTTTTGAGCAGCTAATCCCGGCTGGTTCTGCCATGATTAGATAAACTCACCTCACTTTCTATCAAAAGGTTTTAACAAACTCAGCAGATAATAAGCTGTCAGTGTGTTGTACAGTCTGAGCCACACGAATGCTCTGTTATGTTATGTCTCAGTGCATCACTGAACGTGCGCCGCGTCACTAAATACTTCGTAGACTA